TAAAAATTCAGCGACAACAAGACAAACAAGAAGAGCAGGACCGTATTCAACAGAGTATCGAAAATTCGGAACGAAGACAAGAGACCCACTTCCAAGAAGTCGTAGAAGATCTGGAGGAGCGCCTTCAGCAGAAAATGGAAAAAATTAGAGATGGACCTACAGAAGACCAAGGTACAAGTAAGGACACCTGGCGTGTCTGGAACTGCGAACCTCAAGGCACCGACCTACGATGGACAAACGACCTGGACAATGTACCACCGTCAGTTTGAAGCAGCCGCCGCTGCCAACGGATGGACTGACCAGGAGAAAGCAGCGGCACTTGTCATCGCGCTGCGTGGCCCTGCCCTGAACTCCTGCAAACTATTCCTGCAGCCCAACAGCAGGAATACCAAACTTTGGTCGCTGCACTGGACAGAAGATATGGCGACCAACATCGACGCCAACTTTACCAGGCACAGATCAAGACATGCCTGCAGAGGTCCGGAGAGAGTCTGCAGGAATTCGAAGCAGACTTACGTCGCCTGGTACACCTAGCGTATCCAGAAGCACCGAAAGGGTTTAGGGAAGAACTGGCTGCTCAGTGCTTTATCAGCGGACTGAGGGACAACGAATTACAGAGGGCGCTGCAAATATCCCGATTTTCTACCAGCAGCGAAGCATTGGTCAGGGCGCTGGAAATCGAAGCTGCTTTTAGCGCCATCCCTAGACCGAAGATAAGATCAGTAACGGTCGAGGAACAGCCCGAAAGCACTCACAGAGGTTTGGAGGAGATGTGTAAGAAAGTCGACAAACTATGTGAGCTACTAATAAACAAGGGAGTCAACAACACCCAGACAGAGAACCAGAGAAGATCACAGGACATAAGGTGCTTTAGATGTGGCAGGAATGGCCACATTAAACGGGATTGCCGCGTTCAAATGCGATCCCGTTCACCATCCAGAGAACGTAGGCACCAGGAAAACTAAAACCAGTCAATACTAAGGGGCAAGTATTGACTGCGGAGAACAGAGCCCCCAGAATTTTTTCCATTAGAAGTCTAGGAAGAACCGCTGACAGTTTGGTGATCGACGGGAAAGTCAATGGAAAGGGAATCCGAATGACAGTGGACACTGGCGCTATGGTATCGTTGGTGCGGGCTAACTCAGTGCAAGGATTGAAGCTGATGCCTCTGAGAAGAAGAGTGTGTTTACGTACAGTTACGGGGGAAATAGCCGTTGTACGGGGAGAGGCTATCGTCGAACTGAAGTTAGGAAATTTGAAGTTCCAGCATAGCGTTTTAGTGGCGGATATTGAAGATGACTTCATCTTGGGCATGGATGTGATTCGTCAACATGGATTTTCATTCGATCACCAAAAAAATATCCTAAATATCGGAAACGAAGAGTTCATGTTATCTCCAGACGAGGGATCAGGAAGAATGGATGTAAGATCAGCGGAAACTGTGGTGATACCTGGTAATAGCGAGAAGATTGTATTCGGTAAAGTGGAGAAAATCGCTGGGTGCTGTGTTGGACTGGTACAAAGTAGCGACAACAAACAAGATAGGTACTTAGTAGGAAAGTCATTGGTGAACACTGACAAGAATATACCGATCAGAATTGCGAATGTTTTCCCGAATTGTGTCAAGATTCAAAAAGGTGACAAGATAGCCATCTGCGAACCTGTAAGAAGTGTCACCCGATGTGATGAAGTATCGTCAGCTGTTACACAAAAGGCATCCCAAGAAACACTAAAACATCTAGAACAGCCATGGGATCACCTAACACCTGAGGAGAAACAGAAGGCTAAGGAGTTCCTGTTTAGGCATGGCAGTATTTTTGAAAAGAACAACAGTGGAAAACGGATTTTGTGAAGCACCGGATTAATACTGGTCATGCTCAGCCGATTCGACAACGTCCTAGAAGGGTGCCCCTTTCCAAACAACAAGAAATGGAGACAATGGTAGATAAGATGCTAGAAGATGGAGTTATCGAAGAATCATCGAGTCCATGGTCATCTCCTGTTGTTTTGGTGACGAAGAAAGATGGTAGTACACGATTCTGCGTGGACTATCGGAAGCTCAATGACGTCACTAAGAAGGACAGCTACCCACTGCCACGTATAGACGACACGTTAACCACACTGGCAGGTTCGTGCTGGTTCTCCACTCTCGACTTAAAGAGTGGATACTGGCAAGTTGGTCTGGACGAGGAAGACAAAGAAAAGACGGCTTTTTCTACAGGAAACGGACTATACCAATTCAAGGTCATGCCGTTTGGATTATGCAATGCTCCAGCCACTTTCGAACGTCTCATGGAGGTGGTGTTAAGAGGATTAACTTGGAAAACGTGCTTGGTTTACCTCGACGATGTATTGGTTATGGGAAGAACTTTTGAGGAGCATTTGCGAAATCTAGAAGAAGTCTTCGGCCGCATACGGAATGCTCACCTGTACTTGAACCCGAAGAAGTGTAGCTTATTCCAGCGACAAGTGGAATTTTTGGGCCATGTAGTCTCAGCAGACGGAATTTACACTGACCAGAAGAAAATCGCTGCAATCAAGGATTGGCCTAAACCTCGCGACAAACATGAACTTAGAAGTTTTCTGGGTTTATGCACCTATTACAGAAGATTTGTCAAGGGATTTGCCAATATAGCTGCACCCTTACATAGACTTACAGGTGATGAAGTCGGCTACGAATGGAACACCGATTGTGATGTAGCCTTTGGAAGACTCAAGGCGGCTTTTGTTCAAGTCCTATTTTAGCCTACCCACAACAACAAGGGAGGTATATCCTGGATACCGACGCCAGCAACATCGGCATCGGTGCAGTGCTATCACAAGTGCAAGATGGCGAAGAACGAGTGATAGAATATTACAGTCGAGTTCTATCTAAACCAGAAAGGAATTACTGCGTTACCCGGAAGGAGCTGCTAGCAATTGTGAAGGCAGTTGATCATTTTCATAAATACCTGTATGGCCAAGAATTTTTAATTAGGACAGATCATGCGGCTCTCAAATGGCTTATGGAGATGAAACAACCTGAAGGTCAAATAGCACGATGGCTCGAGAAGCTCCAGCAGTATCACTTTACCATCCAACATCGTGCTGGAAAGATGCATGGTAACGCAGACGGTTTATCCAGAAGACCCTGTCAAATCGATTGTAAGCACTGCAGTAAAACGGAACAACGTGAAATTACTGTCATGATAAGGAGTTTTAAGCTTGGAACCGATGAACAGTGGACGACGACACAATTGAGGAACGACCAAATGGAAGATCCAGACATCGGAGCAATACTACGGCTCAAGGAAGGTAACGGCGAGAGACCACCGTGGCAGGATATTGCAAACAGAGGGCTCGTTTTCAAAGCTCTCTGGGCTCAGTGGAATTCACTGGTTATTGAGAATGGATTGTTAAAGCGCACGTGGGAAAGTGCGGATGGCAGGACAGTAACAACTCAGTTACTGGTACCAAGAAAGAAAGTTACCCAGGTATTGGAAGAAATTCACGGTGGTAAAACTGAGCCCATCTTGGAGTAAACAAGACCTTGAGCAAGCTGAGAGATCGTTTTTACTGGTGGATTATTGCGAAGATGTCAAGAAATGGTGTCGACAATGTAAAACTTGTGCAGCCAGCCAAGGACCAAGCACTCGCTCTAGGGGAAAAATGAAACAATATAACGTTGGACTGCCATTCGAAAGAATCGCTGTTGACATTGCAGGCCCATTCCCTGAAACGCACAAGGGCAACAAGTACGTTTTAGTAGCGATGGATTATTTCAGTAAATGGCCAGAAGTTTTTGCCATTCCAAACCAAGAAGCATCGACTGTAGCTGAAGTATTGGTCAATAATGTCTTCAGTAGATTTGGAATTCCCTTAGAGCTTCACACTGACCAAGGAAGGAACTTCGAGTCAAGACTGTTCCAGAAGATGTGTGATCTGCTTGGTATTCACAAGACTAGGACAACAGCTTTACATCCGCAGTCTGATGGGATGGTCGAAAGATTCAATAAGACCATTGAAGAACACCTCTCGAAAATGGTGGCCGAACATCAAAGAGATTGGGATCAACACATACCGCTGTTCCTAATGGCGTATAGAAGTGCAGTTCACAACACCACCGGACTTTCACCATCGAAGATTTTATTTGGTCGAGAATTACGGTTGCCTTGTGACTTGGTGTTCGGATCACCAGACGACGGCACCACAAATGTAGAGGACTACGCGGATGAACTGAAGGAAAGGTTAATGGAAATTCATAAGGCCGTAAGAAGTAAGATTACGCTAGCCAGTGACCGGATGAAAGCTCGTTACGACCTCAGAGCCAATTCTACGGGATTTCAACAGGACGATATGGTATGGTTATATAACCCACAGCGCAAGAAAGGGAGGTCCCCAAAGTTAACTCCAGCATGGGAAGGTCCTTATACAGTCATCAAGAGGATAAATGATGTTGTGTACCGGATTCAACGCAGCCCTAGAAGTAAGATGAAAGTAGTTCATCTGGATCGATTGAAGAGATACCAGACAGGAAACCTTGATCGGGACGATCAAATTTGAGAAGGGGGCAATGTCAAGAAAAATGGCGTATCCGCCAGAAATTAAAATGTATTACTGGTTGCCTGCACAACCGCAACGTATCCGCCAGAAATTAAAAGACTTTTTCAGGCGCCATCTTTTAGTCAAGTCGAGAAGTAAGGGAATCAGAAAATGGAATTGTCTGGTATGAAGAAGTACGCTTTCCGAGAATTGGGGAAATTTCGAGAAGCAGTCAATAGAGTATAAGCCGGAGCCATCGACAACTGAGACAGTTTTTGAAATTTGAATATACCGCGTGGAAATTGAAAATCGGACAATTTGGTGAAGGAATCTTATAAATAGTTAGTTTGTTGTGTGTTATAAGTTAGTAATTGTGTATAAAGTGAGAAAATAAATTCGTTAAGTATTTTATCGTGAGTTTAAATTAGTGGACCCACGGAATCCGTAACAATATAAATAAACCTATTTAGACTACTCACAGTTTTTTTCAAATCTCCTACAATTTTCCTGTATCTCTTTATCTCCAAATCCTTTACAGCTTCTTTTCTGGTCAAATTTGCCAACTGCTTCTGCAACGTCTCACACTCCTCGGACAATTTATTATTGTTCTCACTACTATCCGCCAATTTACGCTTTAAGTCTTCCAAAGAACCAATCAGTTCCATCTGATTTTCCTGCTGTTGCCTTTCCGTTTCCTGAAGTTGCTTTTGTGCAGCTTTCAAAGCTCTCTTCTCGTTATTGTAAGCCATTTCCAATTTTAGACATTCTGCATTTTTGTCGTCCATGCCTAGTGATGTAAAGGGTAATATTACCTATTACCATGAGGCATTACGTAATATTGATAATATTACATAATGCTATCGCAAGATCGGTAACATTGGAAATATTGCTTTTTTTCCGCTCTGCTCTTTTCATTTGTCCAGCTCTAAAATATAGTAATCGCAAAACATTTTCCGATGCACGTCATCAATCGTATCGACATTGACACTAAAGTCTATAAACCTGACTAAATAAAATTTTGGCAAAAATGTTTAAATACGTTGTATAATTTAACATACCGAGCTTCATGTTACTTTATAGATCAAATGATTGTAACAGATATTTTATTTAGATTAAAGCTGCAAACATTAGTTTAAATTGAGGTTGTCGTTTATTATTTGACAATTATTATAATGCCAGTCATTATTTTGTATAATATCGTGTTGTTGAATCTTTGTGAGCAATTCTCGTTTTTTTGCCCATTTTCGTAGTCTTTTAAGCACAAACAGTTCTCTTAAGAACTAAATTTCCGAGTTTTTATATTTCATTTTTTAAAATTGTGTGTTGAAAGTATGCCGAAGCATTTAAACAGTCGAAGCAAAGAGTTGTAGCTTCCCTGATAAACAATTTGAACGAGAGCGTGGCAATAAAGGTCCTTTATTATCCTTGACTGCAGTCAGAGAAGTAAGTTTGATTGATAAGCACATTATACCACTTTCAAAGTTAGTTTTTATTAAATTCTGTGATTATTAGTTTGTGCATTAATAGCACCTTACTCTTACTTGTTATTACCACTTATGGCGTTGTAAGATGTACATAAATAAATAAATAAATAAATAACTCATAATAACGCTTAGAATAATCTTCATAATGGACTAGTTTTTGCCAATATGTAATAAGTAAAATAAGCTATAAAACAAATAAATCAATTAATTACCAAAATACTAATTATTAAATTAAAAATAAAACGTAAAACTCTAATAAAATAATATATAATTAAATAAGTAAAAAAATATATAATAAATATATTGTTTGTCAATTTAAAATTAAGATTCATCTCATAAATCCATCACAATCTGACAGCGCTGTCGCCATCGCTTGTCACTCAAAGTTGATCACGTGTATCGGAAATTGTTTTGCGATTACCATATACTAAGGGCTGGCAAAGGTTAGTCTTGGGTCGAGATTTCCGTATGTAAGAAGAGTACAATGCGTTTATAATGTACTGAACCAAGAGAGGACAGTAAATACGTTGCCAAACGTATGAAATAAACCGAGAAACTGTGCACATCGCTAAGAGACGTGGAAGGGGATATAGCAGATTTGTCGCAGTTGACCGGTCAACCCAATCAATACCTCTGTCAGTACTTAAAGTTCTAGGGAATACTACGTACGTCATGCGTTCAGCTTCACGATTTAATTACGTCTCGTGATACTTAATTTGTTTATTTATTAACGAGTCGTTGTAATTTTCCCTATAGCTTGAATTTTTTTTAAGTGCAAGCTAGAAACACTTGCATTTTTGGTAAAAATAAGTGGAATTGAGTGGGTGTTCGATAGTGGTCGCGCTATTAGAACTATGAATTCAAAAATCGATATCTTCAAATCTATTAGAAATAATAGATTGTAGTTTTTTCAAGAACTTTGTTAATATTTCTGCTGTATTTTCTTTGTAGACAGTATGAAAATCTTTATCAATAAAAAAATTACACGATTGCTGAAAATTGCTATGCTCTAAAAGTAAATGGATGGATTGTTTACAATTTTTGAATGGAAAAATCAACCTTATCGAATTTTTCTTATGTAAACATATTGTAAAATATCCGATCTTGAAAATAAAAAAAAGTTTCAATATCTAAAGTAGTTCTTGAGTTGCCTGTTATGTGTTAAAAAGATGAGTTTTTGAATTATCGCGATTACTGACGTTTTCTCGTTATAAAAAAATGACACCCTAACGATATCCTTATAATTCCATTTCAGATGCTCAGAAACATGTCTAATGATTTTATCTAGTTATCTCTTGAAAAAAAAGTTTTTTAAAAATAAGCGGTTTGCGATCGTGATTTTACTTTACTTGATAGGGAAAGGCGTATCGGCAACGCCGCAACAGCACACCGTCGCGCGTCGCGTCGTTTGGTCGCATTTCTCTCACTCCGACTTAATAAGATCCCTATGCGATTTACTTCCACACATGTAAATGCCGACCCAAACGTAACAGTTGCCAGCACGGTATGTAAAAAATATGTAAAATTCATAAAATAAGGCGATAACAGAGATAACTAGTTGCCTCTGGCGACAGCAAACGGCAGCATTGCTGGGTATGCTAGTTGACTACCGGGACGGAGAAGGTAGTAATATGTAATATTACCGATTTATAATATATATAACTACCGCGGTAATTTTATATCACTATCCATACCTCTTTTTAATTCCTCCAATCTGTTACAGTAGCTTCCTATTTGCTGTTGGAATTCCATAGTACTTTTCCGGCTATCGCCGTTCTCTTGTTCGTATCTTTTCACTGCCTCTTGCAAATCGAGTATGGTTTTGTTTAGCTCAAATATAGTGTTTTGCAGTTCCTCGTTTTGTTTCAACGATTCGTTGAGAGTTTGACGAATGTTTAAGATTGCTCGGTCGTGTTTGGTCAAGTCCAGTTCTTTCTCGTTGATGAGTTGCTGAAGTTCGGTGATCTTCGCCTCGTGAAGCTGATTGGTTTGAGATTCGAGCTGGACTTTTTCTTCGCAAGCACACAACTGGTTAGATAATTTTTCGTTTAATGTCTGCACTTCCGTGAACGCTTGCATAATTTTACTTGATTCTTGATGGGCCGATTCGTTTGAAAGTGTCTGAAACAAAAGATATTTAAACTTAAGCTTTGTTACAGTTGCATTGCTACTGATAATTATATGTCTACTTTCTTCTTATATTTTTATAAATTTAACATGACTGATCTTATATATACAGTGTCCCAGGCTGAGCGTGAATTAGAAGTTTCTAGAGAGCTAGATTGAAGATTTTTTGCACATCATTGTTTCACAATGAGTTAAAAATATTTTCAATATGGCAGCACTTCCGGAAATACCGGAAGTTGACAGCAACTTTCTTATTTTAAATGGGTACCCCCCATTTTTTATTATATATCTCTATAAAATTTCATGAATGTTTATATATCAAACACTTTATATTACCTTACATTAACCGATTTTGAGAAAACAAAATTGTTTAAAAAAAAATTTGGAGGAAAAAACTGTCTGGAAAAAAAATTGTATAGTCTAAACGTCAAATTTAGTGATTGCCACAGCCACTGTGACATAAGGAGGAGACGTGTAGATATCTATTTCAAAAATTAAATTGTTTGAATGTCATATAATATTGGCCGTAGTTATCATGGAGATGAGGGATTAAAAAATTATCATAAATCATTTTTTTTCAAATGCAAACCCATTTTTTTATTTCACTAATGAAATAAATAAATAAATAAATGCCTTTATTGTCAAAAAATTTTACAATTTGTAGACAAAGGTAAAGTAAACAAACAAAAGAGAATACAAAACAAGTATACAAATTACATTGTCAGTCTTATTGTTTAAAATAAACATTTATAAATGTTTACAATGTCAAAGAATAAAAAAATAAAAATAAGATTCAAAAATATTTAGTAAGTTTATAGTAAATATAGTAATAGCAAATATTAGACCAGTGTTTACAAGATCAAATTCGATTATCCAAATATAAGTCATTTACAGCGTAGAAAGCCTTGTCTAGTAAATAAGATTTCAATGCTTTGCGAAATGAAGAAAATGATGTTATGGATTTGATTTCAAATGGCAGGTGATTGTGCATTTTTTTTGGGGTTGTATAATATTGAACTTTTGAACTCTGAGCGTGGGGTAGGTAGATAAAGATCTTGTTCCGCGTTCCTGAGTGGATAAGTGTGAGACGGCCTTTCTTGAGAAGCCGATACATGCTTACGTATTAGGCAAACGGATTCAAATATAAATAAGAAAGGAAGAGTTAATATTTTTAATTTTTTAAAAAAGTCCTGGCAATGAGTTCTGCTGTTTAGTCCCAGTGAATATCGAACAGCTCTCTTCTGGAGCTTGAAAATGCGGTCAAATTGAGTCGCATAACACGTACCCCAGAATGGAAAGGTTTTTCAATTCGTTACCTTTCGATTATACATGTTCCTATACCCAAAATAAATCGTTTTTAAGTTATATAAGATTTAGTTTTAGAGCGTATATTTTTCTAGTTTTTAACTAGTAGCCTATGACTTTAAAAGTCAAGCGATCTAAAACTATATCTAGCCATGTAATATTGCCATTAGATATCACTAAAGTACGAGATATATTTTTATAAATACACTTTATAAAGTTTTAGCAGTGGTATTTTGTCAAATTAGTTTTTTGGCAGAAGGAAATAAACTCTCTAATATTTTGACACTTAATGTCAAAGAAAAAGATAAAATCAAGAAAAATTGGCGCCTTAAAACTAAATCTTTTATAACTTAAAAACGATTTATTTCAGGTATAGGAACATGTATAATCAAAAAGTAACGAATTGAAAAACCTTTTCATTAGTGAAATCAAAAAGAGGGTTTCCATTTGAAATAAATTATTTATGACAATTTTTAATCCCTCAACCCAACCAACCCAACCCAGTAATGACGACTAGGGCTTGATCTCGCCAAAATTATCATCGGTTGTCATTCCCCAGCCGACATTGACGCCAGTTTTTTTTTATCGTTATGGTACCTGCTAGGTACCTGTCTCACGGTTGTCAAATGAAATTTGACATAAAAAGGAGAAAAAAACATTAATATGTAAATTCGGTCCATAGATACAGGGTGGCGCCTCTCATACGCCGCGGAGGCTCCAAGGAGAACGACAGGTTGTATTGAAATGAAATTTTGTGAGCATATGTAAGTTAATTCAGAGCACTTTTTAAAAATATAGAGAGTTCTACAGGGTGTCCCCAAAAAAAGTTACACATCAAAGTTAAGTTTTTTGTAATGGATTCTAGGAGAAAAATAAAGGTGAGTTTTATAAGAGAAGTATATGACTAAAATGGAAGGTTTTTGACATATTTAACATTTTCTAGAAATAAAGAACAATTTTTAAATTACAATAAAAGTTACCTAAATTGGAATTTACCCGGTATAGCCTAATATGTAGTTAAATTAACTATTGTACTTTAAATCAAATTAAAACTTGACCCAAAAAGTTATACAGGGTGAGACAAAATTAATATTGAACATTGGTAACCTTTAAAAGCATGTTATTTTATTTTAAACGAAACACCCAGTATATTATTCCGATATTCCATGGAGAATTCATGTCTCTTAAAATACTATTAGGGTTGTCTACCCCCCAAACAAATATTTTCCTAGATATTTTCATTTACATGATTTGATCTGGGTAGATCTTAATTATTTGATAAAATCTAGGTGGCTATGATATGTCTGACGTTACTTCAACATCACTGTCTTAATTAGTCCAACTTTAACAACTAGTTATCATTTTGTGTCAGTGAAAACAAAAAAAAATCTCAGAAATTTGCCGAAAATGCAAACTTATCCTACATCAGAGAGAACTAATATGATTCTATTAGTTGGTGAATGCAGTGTGCATTAACCAATTAATAGAATACTTAAATGCTCCTGATTTTATCTAGTCTAGTTTTTTTTATGGGGATATGTTAAAGACAGTGTTTAAAAAAATTGATCAACTATTGTCGACAACATGAGAGAAATTATTGTAGCTGCTTTTTGAGGTAGAACTCCACATATGCCTTTTAAAATGAAAAGATCCTTTTGAAAAGACACTTCATGCTGCATCATTTTATGCAGTTTGGTTTGGTTCCTTCCTCCTCCACAGGAAAGGAAGCATTTTGAGCATTTGATTTCATCTAGCTAATTTTTGTCACATAAGTATAAGTTTATATCTAGTTTTAATTGTGTAATAATTAAAATATGTTTTAAACGCATATTTTTTTATTACCGTTGAGTATTTTACTCTACAATCTTTAATTTTTGTTAAATTAACAAAAGGTATCACAGCCACCCTAGATTTTTTCAAATAATAAATATCAACTGACGCAACATCACAAAAATTAAAATATCTAGGAAAATCTTTGTCTGAGGGGTAGGCAACCTTAATAATACTTTGAAGATATATAAATTCCCCATTGAACACCGGAAAAATATACTGGGTGTTCCATTTAAAATAAAGGAGTAACTTGCTTTTAAAAGTGACTAATGTTTCATATTAATTTTGTCTCATCCTGTATAACTTTTCGGGTCAAATTTCAATTTGGTTTAACATACAATGGTTATTGTAATTAAATATCAGGCTATACAAGGTCAACTAAAATTTAGGTACATAGCTATCGAAATTTAAAATTTACTCTTCATTTTCACATAATGTCAAATATGTCGAAATCTTTAGATTTTAGGTATATGCTTCTTTAATAAAACTCACCTTTATTTTTTTTTTCTAGAATCCGAAAATCAATTAATATATAGGGTGTTCCATTAGAAAAAACACAACTGTATAATTCTATATAATTTTATAAAATGCTTTCAGTTAACCTAAATATGCTGCCAAAATTTCATTTCGATATAAACTACTGTTCTCCTTAGAACTTCCGCGGCGTATGAGAGGCGTCACCCTGTACAAATCTATTTTTGTATATTTAACAATAATTACAAAACAATTTTGTTTATGTCAGCATGACAAAATTTTCAAAGTTTGTCATTTCAAAGGTTACTGTGACACCGATTTTTTTTATCAATTTTATATTTACTTTATTAATTTTAAAACGTATAAGAAGGTACGAGTAAACTTAAAAATATATAATTTTGTAATAAATTACACCAGACAATAATTGTTTTCAGTTATATTTTTACTAATAAGAATTAATATACACTTCTATCTTCTATGTTTTTTCCTCGAACAAAAATGCTTCTTCATATATCACTTCACTGAATAAACGCTAGTCCCGATTAAATTTTCGAAAATTTATAATTTATTCCCTTCTTGTGCTAAATAACGAACTGTTTAGACAAAATTTTAACAGGAAATTAACCAACAAGATACTTACCTTCTATTTCTCTAGTGCATTACCATTAATTCAGTTATATAAATAATTTACAAAAATGGAAAAAAGAGCTTACCAATAATTCTTGTAGATTATTGAGTTGTTCAGCCATTAAACCCATCTCATGCTTAAAATAAGTAATAATCTCTTCGTAACAGCATTTCTGTTTGGAAAGTTTTTTAATTTGATCTTTAAAACGATTACACTCGGCCTGTAACAAATAATTCACGTAAAAAAGTAAAAAGAATAATGAAGTCTTAACTAAAACTCTAAAAGAAGCAATAGGCATGCAAAGAAGCGGATAGAACAAAATTTACCTCAGTTCCCTTTAATATACTTTTATATTTGTTTAACTGATCCTCTAACATATCTATATCTTGCAAACTATCACAGTGGTCCACTTCTAAGTCAAAACTGTTGTCTTGTAATTGTTGATGTTCAGTACTAATTAACTCCAACTGAAATCGTCCAAAATAGTTACTATACCGGGTGCGTCTCAAAAGTGGCTCACCCCCTATAACTTTTTTATTTTTTCAGATAAAAAAATGAGATTTGGTGTGCTTGTATATTATATGATATAAATTAGAATTGATTGACGTATTCAATTGAGGGGTTTCTGGCAAAAACTCCATTAGTCAGATATTTCGAAATTTGGAAAAACTAAAAAAAAACGTATAAAATCCTCCCATTTAAATTTAAATTGTCGTTTTTTTTTGTGTGAGCTCTGGTTATAATCTGAAATTACAGAAAACTAGTTTTCTTTATTTTTTTTCTTATTTTTAAGTTAGGAAGGGCGTGAATTTGTTTGACTTGTGGGGTTTTTGCTGGAATTTTGACAAAAACCGTGGAAACAACCAAGTCCTCTTAGCAACTGTTCGAACGATTACGAACGACAAACAACCAAACCACAACAAGTAGCGGATTAGTGGGGTTTTTGCCGTTAAGAATTGTGACTTGTAGGGTTCTTGCAGAATTACGATATTTTTGATCGTATGCCAGGGGCTAACTTATAGCACTTTTTCCGAATTCGTTTAGTAGGAACGTTATGACTAACAAATTACTGTCGGATAGCGCCATTAACTCATTTTACCAATTTTTTGACTAATGGGTTTTTTGCCAGAAACCCCTCAATTATTTTCGGTCACTTCCTGTTTCACCGGAAATGACTACAACTTTTGATTTTAAATTGCACCCTCGGTATTTTTTTACTTTATTCGATAGAAGATGACACTATGAATCGAATGACAATGTCATATGTTCATATGTCAACTTTTGACATATTCGCTCAAAAAGAAATTGTATTTTAAATTTCAAACTAGAGTGCCATGGCTGCGTTAAGAAATGGAAAAATAGAGTTAATCGTCTAATGTTTTTAGTGTCTTGTCCTGGTAGGTTAAAAGATGCCCAAATCATATTTTTAATCATATCTCAATTTTTTCAAATGGAACGAGGGTTGCTCATTAGCATATTTGGAAAAAGCATTTTTTTAAGAATAATTTGATATCACACACTTGGTATCTCGAGTCAAATTGTCGTTATGAACCGCATGTTACAATTTCAAATAAACCATATGCGAAAATGTCAAAAGTTGACATATGATATGTCATTCTAAAAATCAAAAGTTGTAGTCAATTCCGGTGAAAACGGAAGTGACCGAAAATGATTGAATATGTCAATCAATCCTAATATGTGTCATATACTAATATACCAAATCTCGTTGCTTTATCTGAGAGAATAAAAAAGTTATAGGGGTGAGCTACTTTTGAGGCGCACTCGGTATAGACTTGGTTAAAAAGCATATAACTTTTATTTATACACTATTTATGTATAGTAATTTAACAATAGAATCAGTTTATTAAAATACAGACCATTGACCACGAAAAACGGGTTAAAATTTTCATGTAAATTGAAGTTCAATATATTTTGCTCTAGTGGGTCTATTTTGATGATTTTTCAGGGCTGGCAAATCTCAATAAAAGAAACATATTTTCTCTTTACCGTTTTTCAAATAACTCCAAAATAATCGTTTGAATAAAAAAATATATATATATATATATATATATATTTTTTTTTTTTTATATATATATATATATATATATATATATATATATATATATATATATTTTTTTTTTTTTTGACAGTGCCCGGTGGCGTAGAGGTACAGGCTCTCGTCTACCAATCTCAAGGTAGTGGGTTCGAATCCTACACCCGGCATTTCTTCAGCGGACTATTTTTATTAAAATAAAAATAGTTTGGGTACCTAGGTCGACTCAGCATTAAATGAGTACTTGGGATTCACAATCTTGAGGTAATAATAGGCGGTTGAAGCGTAGTGCTAGCCACATTACCTTCCTTGTATACCAAACGGCTCTAGCATGGCAAGCTGTACCTTGCTACTCCCAAGGCGTTAAACACTATATACGGGAGCTATTATATTAAATATTTTTTGCTTAAACTTTAAGAAGCAGTGGTTCTTTTCTGGGTTTAATTTAATCTACTACCTATGTTATATGTTATAAATAATCCACAAATTTTCAAATTTGTTTTTACGAAAAAAACCTCCTTCAAAATATTTGCACTTAATTAAGACTCACCCTGTATAATATTGTTTTCTCTGATGGGGATTTTTAATCGAAAAAGAGGCTAAAAAGCTAAATATATTAGTTAAAATTTCTTAAAAAATACGCAAAATTGGCCCATTAAAACAAAGTGTATTGGACTTTAAAATACACGAAAATTTTGTACAATACTTACTTGATATCTTACAGCGTCGTATTCATATTGAACGTCATTTAATTCACTTTCTAGCATTTTAATAATCTTTTGGCCATTAAATTCCTGAAATATCTAGTCGAATTATTCAAATTCAAATAAAAGATGTTCTATAAAACAAAAGTATATTTAGATCAGAGAATGTTAAAATACAACGTGCCCTTAAGTAATATCTACTACATAATACACAAATTCGTGTTAGTAATAATTACATCCAAAGGGAAGATTGTGAATTAAAAATAAGAAAAAAACATAACAAAATAAATAAATAAATAACTGAAATAATAGTTATTGCACAATTATTACTGGATTAATACAGAGTGGCTTAAAATTTTCTAAATGGTGTTTCTACTTTTAAGTAAGTTATTTTTAAATAATATTGTTTTATTGAGGAAATTTTTTTAAAACGCTCTGCATTTATTTACAATATGGTAACAAAATTATATCAATATAAGTAAGATTGTTTAAGGTAGGTTTACTAACATTTCGATTAGAAAAAGTAGATTAGCAGTCAAAATAAAATATATGTGGAGATCCTATTTCGCCGTGACTACTTGTCTTTTATAAAAGTTTATATTAATTAATTATTATATTTTTAATTAAATAATTATTATATTTTTACAAAATATAAAAATTATATCTAAAGGTAACAATCGTGTAAATGAATTGAACAGCTGAGAAATTTTTCTCCGCAGATTCAAAACCCACTGGCCATTTTGCATAAAACTAGCGATAGGATCACTCGAGTAAAAAATACTCGGACACTCGAGTATTCAAATCCTCGGTATGTCTCGATATTCTTTTTCACTCCTCGAGGATTACTCGGCCCGCAAATAACGCCGTGTGTGGTGCACAGTGCTCATAAGGATAATCGGCCAAACCTTGCTCATATAACAATAAAGCCCGCACCCCATTAGCCAACACGCTACGCCAAGCGATGCCATGCTACCCCACGTCATGAAGATCAGTGCGTATGTTTTTCCATTTAATTACATGTATTGCGTACACACTAGGCAACACGCCACGCCATCCGACGCTATAACACGCTATGACACGTGGGATGGTCGATTCGTCGCCGTCGGTTCCAGATCTCACCGACGTGTGTTCCCCGCTTGCCTCTCTAAACTGTATTCAAATTCAAAATGCACCAGTATAAACAAATGAACAGTGCGTGATCAGCACGTGTCAGGCGAGAGCCAGCGGCGAAATCTACTCTGATTGGCCGGCCAGCCATAGAGCCGTTGAGGTAGGCGGTTGAGATTTTTTACAGGGTCGGCTTGCATAGCGCGTTAAGGAATACTGTTTGATAAAATAAAAATTCTTTTTAAATTTATTCCCAACCAAGCGAGTAAAATCAGAACGGTCAACTATTTCAATAATAATTGTTGATCACTTCGTACAAGTTACAAATAGAGAAAATAATATTTATGTTTGCATAAAACATTTTTACAATTAGTACACACGTACCTACTACAAAAAGTCAAAAGTTATATATTTTATATAAAATTATTATTTTGTAAGTGTTAATAAAATTATAAATTTTGTAAATGTTAATAAAATTATAAATTTTGTAAATCTAATGTTAATAAATGTTATGTTTAAAAATAGAAGTTTTTATTTGACTAGTTTTTCAAAAAAAAAATGTCGTTATACTTCAAAACGGATAATACAGCAGGCTACGAAAGCAAGTTAAAACTAAGTGCTTTTTTTGTCAACTAAAATGTATTAAATTATGTTATAATGCAATTGGTCTTTTAAATGATGTAAAAACGTTTACATCATTGCATTTTTTGCAAATAGTATTATAGAAACAGATACCTATTTATACCGATATTCAGATATTGCTGTCCATAATGGAAATAAAAAAAATCAGTAGTACCAAATAAAAAGATAATTATTTTAAAGGACAAATTAAGCCCTTTTAAAAAACACCAAATTTGTTAAAATCGGTCGTGCCAAAGAGTAATGTAATATTTTAATATTCCCGCCCCCTTCCCATCACTTTATTTCTCTAATTATATGTAGTTTGATAATAATTAAAGGTAATTATTGAGAAAACTGGAAATCGTCCGATTTTCACCAAAATTGGTATACACCCTATTTTGAGGTCGTAGATTAAGAATCTGAACTTTTTTCCTGGCGGTCTCTTACCGTTTTTAAACGGAAAATAGTTTCAACATAGAATTTTACTTAATTTCTCATATTTTTAAGGTTTTCTAGCACATATTTTGTTAGGTATTCAATAAACAATGAGGTTTTTGCTATGTTCTGTTAATTTTTTAACCAATTCTATGCATAATAGAGGAAAATTTGCAAAATAAATTTGTAAACAATCTGAAAATGTTGGGTTATGTGTTTCTGGCATTTAAAGCAACGTTGCCAATGCTGAACGTAAATTTAGCGTGTTTTTTTCGCTCATTCTGGGATTACGAAAGGCGGTCGTCTGAGGAACGGCCCCTTCCCATAACTGCTATTTTACCAACGAGATCTGACTATTTATAACCACGAAGTGGCACGAAAGAGTTTTGTTTGCATTGGTTACAACTTCTATGCGGAGGATGTTAATATTTTTTTGTTATATTATATAAAAAAAAGATTAACCCCCTCCGCAAAGAAGTTGAAACCAGTGCAATCAAAACTCTTTCATGCAAGTTCGTGCTTATAAATAGTATTTATATAACTTCTTTGCGAAGAGGTTTAATCTTCTTTTAATATAATATAACATAAAAATATCAACTCCCTAAGCATAGAAGTTGAAAGCAATGTAATTAAAACTCTTCCGCGTAACTTTGTAGATATAAGTATATTTAACTATTGTCAAATCTCATAATAGGTAATTTATTTAAAATCCCTAATCACCCGAAAAAATTCAAATATTTGTCTCTCTCATTATATAGGAGAGAGAAAGAAGAATATATGAAATGTCAAACTTCCATCTGGTCTCAATTTTCTTTGTTATTTTGTTAAAAAAAGTGTTTTTCAGTAAAATTTTAGACATTTTTCAATCCTGAATCAAGTGTGGCTTTTAGATAAACTATGATACAATATAAAAATATAGTGAAATTATTACTTTATAGGGCTGAAATAAAGAAAAATTCAATGTTGAAATTATTTTCCGTTTTTCTGAAAAACGATAAGAGACCGCTGGTTGGTTAGGTTTGGTCAGATTCGTAATCTACGACCTCAAAATAGGGTGTATACCAATTTTGGTGAAAATAGGACGATTTCCAGTTTTCCCAATAATTACCCATTTATATAATATAAATTTCCATCATAAAATATAAACAATAGTAAAAAAAAAATCATAAAAATATACATAATAATTTTATGATTTGAAATATCCGACCTTAGTGCGGTCCTGGTTATATTACTACAGCGTTCCTGTTCACGTGCTTGCCTCATGTCTCTGTTTACGTTTGGTGCATCTTGGGGTTGAATTTACTATAGTCCCGCAGCTATTTTCTAACGGTTATTTTCGAATGCAATAGAAAAAAAAAATTATATTACTAATTTTAAAATTTAATAATCAAACATTAAGGAAAGAAGGTTAATGGAGATTGTGAAGTTAAGGTATTTTGATTATAATCTAATATCGGTATGGGTCTCGATACTTCTAGTATTTTCGTATCCCTACTGACAAATTTTTTTAACTCTAATAAAAATTCAGGCGTATTAACACGTGTTACCAAATGTGTACCCCATTCCCACGTCGCAACACGTGGGATAGCGTGGCATCGCGTCGGGTGTTGGCTAATGGGGTCCCGGCTTTTATATGGTGGTTATACTACTTTTCCAAGTAGTATAACCATCAGTATGCAAACCTATTTTTGGTAGACCTGCTTTTTTGAACACAGCACATTACTATTTTTTTAAGTACAAAATTGTAAAAAAATAAGAATAGGCACTTTAAGTATTTATTTATAACATAGGTAAACGTATTGTATATTTATTTATACAAAAATATGTATTTATTTACTTCATAGAACAGAATTCAAGAAAATAATTTTGTCAACATTTTTGGAAGCAAGTCTGTTTCTTTTCGAACACGTGAGCTGGTCAAGAAAAATTATTAAACAAGCTATTTAAAAACAGCAAGCAAAACGTACTGAGCATTATTCGGTTATCGATTCAGCTAGATATTATACAGGTCTTAGTTATACAGGCCGAATAGTTCGAGTTGTATAATGTGTAAACAAAGAACATTTTTTGACCGAAGATTCATCGGATGACCATCCGATTATAGGAATCCTCGAGGATTGAAATCATCCGATTATTCCCAACACTACATAAAACAGTAATTACTTAAATTTGAAATTCCTGGTATTTTGTCCTATATGATTATATTAAGTTGTTTTATATAATTATATTAATTTAATTATTAAAGCTTATTGTTAATGACTAAAAAACCTCTTTTGTATTGCAAAACACTGGAACTAATATACGAGTATGGAATTTACTAAATACTTAATTTTATATGTGTAAATATGTGTAATATAAAAATAAGTACTGAAGCTTCTGTAGGAACTTATTAAGGTGCGTATTCATTATCCGCACGAACGAACGAACGAACGTACGCTAGTGGTATGGACGGGGACCGCACGATAGGACCGCACGAGAAGACCGCACGCATTTCTTCATTCGCGCGCCAGTTCAAATCGTCAAGATATTGTTATAAACCTGTTTTTTTTTTGTTTATATACCGTCATTGAATTATCGCTAAGCAAGTTACTATGGAGCAGTGCATAAGGAGTCGGGCTAGGAAGCGAGAGACCGGAGTTCGAATCTCGGGCGGAACATCACTTTTTATTTTTTTTAAATACTGTTGTATTCTATAGTTTATTTTTGTAGTATAAGAAAAAGAACTATTTATTCTGTTTTTTTAATCTCCGTTATTAATATAAATTGATTGTTAGTACAATACCTCATTTAATATAAAATAATATTCTACTTTTTGAAATGTATCGGGCCCTAATTGTACCTAAAAGTAATATATTTTTAGTGATATACCATATTGTAAACTATTTAATATTTCAGTCGCTTAAAAAGTTAATTTGCATTGAATAATTGCCTACCATTAAAGGAAATTTGAGCTATATAACCCTTGATGGGCATATTCTGTGTATGCAAATACTTCCTTTAAATTTTGGGTGTGGTTCAACCGATTTATTCTCAAAACCAGAAACATCTACGTATAAAAAGAAGCACAGCTCACTAATTATAATAAACTTCACCCTTGGTATTACTTCCACTAATTATAATAAACTTCACCCTTGGAATTACTTCTATCACAATTACAATACGTTCATCTGCATTGGCATTTTCTACTTTTCGATGGGAAACAATAAACTTCCCAACATTTTTTAAATGATGTAACAATTCCTCTTGTGGTTACTTTTCCATAGATATCCTCATCTCTGTCCTCATGTGAATTCAGAGGCAATAAATGAAAATTATTTACCATAAACATCGCAAACTAAAACCTAATAAACAATTTTATACCGAATATAGAAATAAATTTAGTATTTTTACCTATTATCGTCCAAATCCATGTTAATAGATAATTATTATTTTTAAATATATTTTTGGATCTGCTGGTTTTAGTAATTATTAAATTAAACGAACTAAAAAGTCTTAAAAATAAACAATTCTTAACCATAACCTCAAAAATGCAGATCTCCTGTCAACTTTCTTTTTGTCAATTTTTTCTCCTGTCAATTTTTTATTTATTCATTATTTTCCTAGTGACGTCACAGGTGGTATGCGCGAACTGAACGAAATTGGAGCCGCTATCGATCATACCTTGTATTCTTTGTACCATGACGTCTAAACGCCTTTGATGTACCGACTCGAAGCGGATGGTCGAGCGCACGAACGAACGAACGGCCGCATGCGTTCGGTCCCCGTCTAAATATACCGCATTTTCATTCGTTCGTTCGTTCGTTCGTTCGTTCGGATAATGAATACGCACCTTAAATCTGAAAGCGCACGCAGGCGAACGCCTTTGGTGTACCGACTCGAAGCGGATGGTCGAGCGCACGACCGAACGAACGGCCGCATGCGTTCGGTCCCCGTCTAAATATACCGCACTTTCATTCGTTCGTTCGTTCGTTCGGATAATGAATACGCACCTTTAAACAGCATAATTGTAAAAGTTTGTGAGTAAAAATATATAAATTAAATAATCTTTAATATAGCACATATAACAGATTTATTAATAATACTGGAATGAAGTGTGTTAGATACTTAACCCCCCCCCCATAGAGAGTTTTAATAAACATTAACACAGTAATTATTAAAATATTATTACTTTAAATGAGTTAAGTAATGTATAGAGCTGAAAATCAGAAGTTAATCGGGCAACAGCCACAAGGTGCAACAACAAATTTATAAATAACTATACCAAGTAGGGAAGACTGGATATATTTTGTACAAATTTAAGCTAAGGCAACCCTGTATACTGATGTCTCACGAAAGTCAGTGGGTATAAGAGCTGGAACAGTAAGGCTAAAAAGGGATAGCATTTCCTGTAAATCCATTTAAGGAGTCACAATTTTCTAGATGGAAATAATGGCAATCTATAAGAGATAATAAGGCAGGAAAGAATGCACCGTTCGGTTACCATCTTCACAGATAGTAAAGCAGCGCTTAAGGCACTATTCTGTAGAGGTCACTTCAAGACCAGTATGGGATTGTGTGTATGCTCTAGTAGCAACGTTATAGGCACAGTGGTCGCAAAGCCTCATCAATGCTATTTATAAGTTCAAAACCCTTCTGCAGCGTTGCAAAAGCAATTATAAATATGGCCAAAAAATAGTGGTGGAGACCAACAAATCTGTACAATGATAAAAAATCACCAGGACAGAGGAAGGCTAAACATTCCATAGTAGAACACTGACCAAAATTTAGAGGAGACCTGAGAAGCGGGCAAAAGTGTAGTGAGTGTTTCTAACAGGGCATTGCAATCTCAGTTGGCAATTAAAGCTGCTAGGTCTGACAGAAAAAGCAATGTGCAGATTTTGCCAATCTGAAGAAGAAACGGCAGAATACATTCTATGTCAGTTCAATAGACTGGCAAATGTACGATTCATTGTACTAGATATCACAAAGAGTTCTATGGAAGGATCGATCTCCAAGTTATTAGGCTTTTTGAAAACATACGAATGGAGAATGTAGTCTATAGATAGGAAACAAATATAGGTGGCCACAAAAGATCCGTAATAGTCGTAGTGGAACAGGCCAAAAAATATATTAAAAAATGTAAGTATAAGTTTTAAAATATTTCAATTAATTATTGTACTGTAATAAATAATAACACTTTCTATTGGATGAAACATATTTAAAATATTCTTCTAATAAATGTTGTTTTGTTTTGGCAAAGGAGTACAACAGGGAGACGCGTTATCCCCAAAGCTGTTTACAGCAACATTAGAAGGAAATCTTCCGTCAACTGGACTGGACTAACAAAGGATTAAAAATAGATAGAGAATATCTTAACCATCTAAGACTCGTTGATGACATAGTCCTAATTTTCAATAGTCCTGGAGAACTACAAGCACAAATTAGTGAACTAAATGCAGCCAGCAATAAAGTGGGTCTCGAAATGAATCTAGCAAAAACTGAAGTAATGTATAACCACAGATTACACAGATTATAATCTTTGTTTTTTCTTTATTGTTTTTCGTGGTTCCAATTTTCGGAATCGGACACTAGTTAGGTTACTAGTTTGCGCACATAGCACGCCCACTTATGGCCTCTAAAATTGTGCTTAGCGCCTGACCGGCACAGTTATTAGAGAGATATCGCAAAACCGAATAGCGTCATGCAGTATTTACGCGTACCTTATCATGGTTACGATATGCGCGAGTCAATTTTTAACGCAACGCCCGCTAATAACGTTACCGCCTGACGTAATTTGCGGATCAATTACACCAAGCGCTATTTCTAAATAACGTTTAAAAATTGCTTAAATGGGCATGTGCGGGTATTTGATAACCAGGGCCGACCGGCGAGATCTTTTATTTTAGGTTATGTTTGAATTGTTTTGAATTATTACTTTAGTTTTATTAGGTAATTTGATATTTAAGTAGCTGGGATTAGTTTTAATTGAATAAATATGACCCAAAATATGGATTCCACCTCTTCCAATATTAAAGAACCTATAAAGAGGCTTAGGTTTACAGCAGATGACGACTTAGCGCTTCTAAGAGGATTTGTTGCTTGTTGCTCTAAACCCATTGGCAGACGTTGAACAATAAAGCACTGGAAATAAGCACTTTAGCCCTTTAGTTTTAAAATACCTAGTAAACAAAACAATTTCAAAGTTTTAAATTCAAAGTTAGGTTAAGTTTAAATAGCGGACGCGACGCGAACAGAATTCTTTCTGATCCGATAACTATAAATGAAGAGAGTTAATACCACCTCACGTAAAAACAAAGAAATAACACCTGGCCTTATTAACGTCCATGCACGCTATTCGGTTTCGCGATATCTCTCTATTACGCTGTTTATTGTTATTTTACGCGAGTTTATTTTTGCGCACAGGAAATTTTACTCGTTTGCACATCTTCATAAAAAACAATTTTCGTACCACGAAATAGGGATAAGATTTTTATCTGTATACATATAGTATACTTAATCTGTGGTATAACGAACTAGAGGAAAGAAAGGACATTCTAATAAATAACACGACACTGGAAATAGTAGAAGAATGTCATTCAGAGAGTAAAATCCCTCAAATGGCAATGGGCAGGACACCTGGCAAGAAGAGCGGACAACAGATGGACCACAAAAATTATAGCATGGTACCCACGAGGAATTAAGAGACCTAGAGGAAGACCAAACCTGAGATGGAACCATGATAGAAAGTTACCATGTACCATGAAGTAAGCAGGGATAACTTGGGCCCGCATAGCCAACAATAGACAACAGTGGACCCAACTACAGAGTATTTAAATATGTAACGGAGGCTAAACCATAATTGGAAATGGTTGAATAAGCTGAGAATTATGATGATGAAGACATTTTGTTTTTCAATCACCACAAATATTGAACTCTAAGGAAAACTATTATGTATATTTTATTAGATATAATATAGATTGAGTTAATAGAATTCGAACATACTGACAAATGAATTATTGTCACATTAAGTATTGGAAGCATAAAATAAGCTGCACCTTTAAAAATAACTACGAATATATCTAATTAGAAGCATAAAGTCACGAATAATAAAGTTGAAAATAATTTGCAATTTTACTCTCTAAATAAAAGTTAAAGAATACCAAAAAACAGAAAATAAATAGGGATATATTATTATTATGCAATGAATAGATGCCCCTCTTAAGAACAGGTAGAATGTTTGAATTCAAAGAAAAAAATAACCAAAATATACAGAGTTAAAAAGCTAAAATAAACCTTTTAAATTACCAGATTAATAGTTAAATAGAACCACTATTTTTCAACAAAAATGGTTGTCTACTTCCGGTATAACCCTACAAAGTTGTTCTAAATTTTGAAAGTTTTCTCACTCTGAAAAAGGCACCCTGTATATACAGGAAATATATATATTATATTCTAATTAGAACTTAGTAAAAATACACAAACTACTATCTAAATCTCATGCACAGATTGGTTACTACTGGAATTTAGGATTTTACTTGGGTTATTGTTATTGGCTACGTCTGCAGAAGAAAGACCAAGCCATGCAGTCCAACTCTTCCCACTCACGTTGTCCTGGTATTTTTTAGTTATTTCTTCCAATTCATGTTTTGCCGCTACCAATGCTTGTTGAAGGTTTGTTATAGTCACTTTTTGTTGTTGAATCTAAAAACAAATATACTCTAATTAGCAATACGACATAGTTTTTTCACACAATTCATTAAATATTTTTGACGATGTGTTATACCGGGTGCATCTCAAAAATGGCTCATACCTATAACTTTTCTATTTTTCCAGATAAAAAATCGAGATTTGGTATATTAGTATATGCCATAAATTAGTATTGATTGACATATTCAATTGTTTTCGCTCACTTCCTGTTTCACCGGAAATGACTACAACTTTTGATTTTTAAATGGCACCCTCGGTATTTTGTTACTTTATTCGATAGAAAATGACACTCTGAATAGAACGATATATCATATGTCAACTTTTGACATTTTCGAATATGGTTTATTTCAAATTATAACTTGCGGTTCGTAACGAAAATTTGACTCGAAATACCAAGTGTGTGGTATCAAATTATTCGTAAAAAATGCTTTTTCCAAATATGCTAATGAGCCACCATCGTTCCATTTGAAAAAATTGAGATATGATTAAAAATACGATTTGAGCATTTTCTAACTGGCCAGGACAAGACATTAAAAACATTAGACGATCAAATCTATTTTTCCAAGGCTCCTTGATTAAGAATTAGTGTTTTTAACATAGCCATGGCACTCTAGATTGAATTTTAAAATACGATTTTTTATTAAGCAAGAATGTCAAAAGTTGACATATGATATGTCATTCTATTCAGAATGTCATTTTCTATCGAATAAAGTAAAAAAATACCAAGGGTGCCATTTAGAAATCAAAAGTTGTAGTCATTTCCGGTGAAACAGGAAGTGGTCAAAAACAATTGAATAATAAATCCTAATTTAAGTCATGTATTAACATACCAAATCTCGTTTTTTATCTGAAAAAATAAAAAAATTATAGGAGTGAGCCACTTCTGAGAAGCACCCGGTATATTAACTAGCGAAATCGACTGGCTGCCTAATGAAAAGGCTGTGCCTAAATCATTCAGAATTGTATGTAAAAACAATTTGTTTTACTCACCTGAACGTTAGCTTGCTTTTCCGCAGACTCCAGTATATTTATAGAATTCGAATAAAGTGTAACCTGCGTATGTAAAAAATTAACAATAACTATTCGTAAAGTAAAAAAGCGAAAAGCTAATAAAAATAGCGATCAAAAACAAAATAAACGAAAAATTTTACCGCTTCTTGAAGGTTGGTAGCTCGCTCTTCGCAAGACCTTAACGCCAACTCCAGTTCGTTCACTTTAGACCTTAACAACTTTATCTCGTCGTCTTTTCTCTCGATCTCAACCCTCATGTTTGATTTTAAATGATTCACTTCATCTAAAGCCTGTAATAATTCAAAGTGTCACATTAATCCTTCTTTCGTGAACGGACATCTTTTAAAAACGTTTTACGATATATGTACCTTGCGTATTTCGGATTCTTTAGTCCCCAAACTGACTTGCACCTGAAAGAGAAAAGAAATGAAAGAGAATCTATTTTTAGAGAAGCGGGCGCCTCATTGTGGCATCTAAGGCTGCCTTTTTATTTGTGTTAAAATGGGAACGAATCTCGTGGTATTTTTAGATTAATACAGGATGCTCTGATGGGAATATTAGAAGAATGTTGTAATCAATGATATGGTGATGAAAGAACCTAAACATGTACGATGTGAAAAAAAAACAAATTTCTAACGACTTTGATATTTACAATTTTCGAAATTAAAAGAATAATAGAAATGTATATACAGGGTGAGTCTTAAATAAGTGCAAATATTTTTAGGAGTAGTATACAGGGTGGTCGGAACTGTATTCCGGAAACTTCGGCAGCATATTCTGCAGATAAAAATAAGTAAAATAGTTCTTATAAATGTATGTCCTAAAATGCTTAGTTTCGGAGATACAGGGTGTAGAAATTTCATTTATATTTCGACTTTTTCCAAATAATTTCTGAAGTAACGTCAATATTTGGATGAAAATTTGTGTCTGGCAGTTTTTTGGCATGAGAAATTCGAGTTTGATGTCAATATGACTCCTACTTGTAGAGGGCGCCACTTACACATTTTTAACTGGTTTGAAGAGTACTAACTTTTCGTGCGTACCTGTATAAAACTGCTGAGTAAAAAATATACATTTACGACGTTTTTTACATAAAAAAGGTACCTTGGGAAAATTCGTTACCGAGTAATGGTTCTCGATATATTTGAGATCTAAATTGTCAATACCTGTCATCATTGACATAAATTAAACATGCTGACTAAATAGTTATTATTTCCCCTAGGAGATGCAAGACCTTGTCGTTGGTGGGGAAGCTCCTGGTCAGGTGCTGGGGGGAATCCCCCCGAGCACTTGGCTTGTTCTAAGAAGCATCTCACTCATCGTCTTGTCCCTGACTGTAGTGTCGTTGCTAGGGAATTGCACCAAGACATATAACGATACCGGGCGGGGCTACGGACAGCCTCAACCTTGGGGCACCGAGAGGCACCCCATTGTATTTTACCCCTTACTTCTACATGCGGGGCTCTGTAGAAGTGGACCGACTGTCCCTAGCGACTCATAGGAACACTATGAGATCTGGTAATAATAGTAATAAAAACATCACCGGTAAAGCTGTGTGGAAACCCCCTAGCGACACTGGGAACAGTAATGGTGGGTTCATACAGCCAAATAAAATAAAATAAGAATAAAATAAAATAAAATAAGAAAGTTGGTTATATGGGATACCGTACATGCGTTCATACAGCCAAATAAAATAACAAATAAAATAAGAAGTCTTTATCTTTTAACTTCTTGTTTTATTTTATGTGAAAACGGCTTTGCGCACGCTTAATTCTAACCTACAAATATTTTCAGTTTGGATTTAATTTATTTTATAATTTCACATAAGTAAAATGTATAATATGGTAGGCAACGAATAAATAAATATACTATAAATAGTAAAATTACTATAAACAATCGTAAAAGTTAACTTTTATCCAGCCTCATCGTACTGCGCATGAGCAAATATATATTTCTTATTTTATTTTATTTGACTGTATGAACGCACACAAATAAGAATTCCTTATTTTATTTTATTCTTATTTTATTTTATTTGGCTGTATGAACCCACCATAACAATGAAAGTTCCAAGGGGCCAAACCCAAAGAGAACTACAGGAGAGGTGGCTGACACTTGCGTGAGACCATCCTCCGCAAGTGGCATACAAGCTACTACCTCCTCCAAGGGTCGGGAGCCTACCTCCTACCTCTAAACCCAACAGGCGACACAAGCTACCGTTTCGTCTACCCGGCCTGTGTCGTAGCTCCTCGACTGTGAGGGACACGGGTCTCCGTAGCAAGTCCTGGGACTGTATGATGAGTTATAACTCAAGAAAGGGGGACACAATAGATCTCTAAGGTCGCGGAGATTAACCCCCCTCCCACTTATTCTAAATTCTAAATAGTTATTAGACTGAAATCATAAATTTGAAATGTTTTTGTGCCAAAAATTTACTAGAAACTGTTTTATCACAATTTTTCGAAGAAAAAATTATGATTAATTTAAAAAAAATAATAGTTCCTAATAGTATGTATGTACTCAACATGTTTATTTTTTGTCAATAATGACATGTATTGATTATTTCCATTCTAAAGATCTTGTGAAAGTTGCGATTTTTTACCAAGAGACATTTTTTACGTAAAAAATCACGGAACTGTATATTTTTTCACTCAGTAGTTTTATACAGGTGCGGACAAAAAGTTATTACTCTTCAAAGCGGTTAAAACACATGTAGGTGGCGCCCTCTACGGATAGTCATATTGACATTAAAATCTTCAAATTTCTCATGTCAAAAAACTTCCAGACACCAATTTTCATCTAAATATTGCCGTTACTTCAGAAATTATTTGAAAAAAATCGAAATAAAAATGAAAAAATGGATTTTAAAACAAACATTTATACGTACTTTGTTACTTATTTTTATCTGTAGAATATACTGCCGAAGTTTCCGGAATACAGTTCGGTAATAGCCTTGATTATGTATAAATAGATGTACAATGAGGGCTTAGTACAAGCCCGTCTTCTAGGTGGCGCCTTGCCCGTTCTGAATTTTTGTATTCCCCTACGATTTTCTTTGAGGGGAATCCGTTAAACCCGCCCATCGTTCAAAAATGGAAGGGCGCGAGGTCACATCTATTGGGCCACTTATTAGCATCGTTTCACGCATGTTTTACGAAAATAGCTCTATCCTTGTTTGTTTCAACTGTGACAAGAAAAAAGGAAAAAAAGTCATATTCGTTTCTAAATTCGGCAGTTTTGTTTATCTTTCTCGACTTCGGATTTCGTTTCGTTTAGGTTATGTCTTAAAAAATAATTATTTATAAGCTTTTTTGAGTTAAAATATACCTTAATGCATATCTAAATAATTAAAAAAAAATAAATTTTTCGTCCCCACGAAGAAACGAAACAGTATTTTTGAATATTTGGATTACAAACTATTATTTTATGAGTTTTAGGTGTTGTGTTTACGTGATGTGTAATGTGTATTTTGTATCCTGCTGGATAATATTTTGAAACATATTTAATTAAACAAAAGCATCTGTATTACAGGTGAGTAAATACTGTTCATATTTATTTCTAAATTCATATAAATTTGTTTTAAATCACTCTTTGGTTTTAGAGTTTTTATCTTAGAGTTTTACCTCATAGAGAGTCTGAGATAAGTTTAATAATAAACATTAAATTTGATAGATTGATAGATAGATTAAACGATAATGGCCAGTTGACTTAAAAATTTAAAAAATACTGATTTTATGCTATAAATTATGTTTCATTTCTTACTTTGCTTTTTTGGAACTGTCAGATATATTGTGTATTTTATAATTTTTCTTAATTAATAACGTAAAATATTGTTTATCTACACTCAACCCTGTGTTTAGATAAAGCTTCATATCAGATTTCCTATTTTATATTTTCACTCAAATCATATTTTTGTAAAATAGGTATGCTTGCATGCAAAAGTAGCGTAAATTTGACAGGGAGGTATTTTTATAGATATACAGGATGATTCGTAGATTTAAATACATATTTACTTTAGAGTTGTATAGTTTGTCAAAAGAAAAGCTATATTTTTTATTTTTTCTTGGTGAATTTGTCAAAAAATTGTCATTCCAGAAAATACTATAATGTCGTAATCGTATAGAGTTCATTTTGACCATTTTTGGATTAAATTTTTTTGTTTATATAATAAAATATATATTTAAAGCCCTTTCTAAGTTAAAAATAAGTAATATGGAAGTTTTTTACTGGAACTAATTTAAGGTAATGTTCTCTTCATATAATTATATAAAAATATGCTAAATTCCTAAATTATTTATATGATTAAATTTTCTTTATATTATTTTTTTTGTATTATATACAGGATGAGTCAAAACTATATATTATATTTTTCTTTGCTATTTCAAATGGAACACTGTATTTTATATCATAAATCAACAAATCTTTTATCCAACTTTTGTTTTGTTAAGATCTATATCCCAGATTAATAGTTATTGGATTGTTCTCAATAATTGTCTCTTTGAGAATAAACATGATTTGTTTTTCGCAATTTTTATTAGTAGGTTTGTCGTTAAAAGTGATGTATCTACATATTTATCAGCGACAAAAATTAAGAATTAGATGTCTAAAATAATTTCCTAATTATTTTTTTACTTAGCGTATCAGTAAATATTATTTATTTTATCGCTGCAGCTGAAAATAATTATGTATTCAAACAGGACATTACTGTATAAATATCGATTATTTGGATTTAAAAATTATTTTTCAAAACAAAGTTGGAGAAAACTACGTTTATGTCATAAAATGTGGAGTTCTCTTTGAAATAATCGAGAAAAACCCAACATCTAGTTTTGACGCCACCAGTATATATCATGCATTATAGTTGATTACATACGTAGTTTTGTTTGGTGAAAATGAAACTTTCTAAAAGTATTCCCAATTAAAACATATTAAGAATTTCCTACATTATAATTTTGAAAGACGTTTGAGTGGGCAGACAATTTGGTTTAAAATAATCATATGTCTAAAAAATTTAGTCTAAAATAATCAAAAACCACTTAACACATATAACTCGCTTTTAAAAAATCTAAAAGAAATAAGTTTGTTTATTATATGTATATTTTATTAAATTATTATAGGTGTGACTGATAAGTGGTCGTACTCGCCACTTTAACCAACCATTGTTGGGACCATGGTAGGACCTTCAGAGATTATAATGCGAATTTTTCATACCATGTAAATCTATATACATATATTAATAAATGCGTTTGTTTTATTAAATTTGTTTTCTTATACGGTATGAGCGAAAAAAAACGGCGTCTATTTGTTTACGTACAAATATATGACATCGATATTCATTTCTAAGCCACCTCTGACGCCGTGTTTTTTTATCGTATGGTATACACTTACATATCCCTTATCCTTTAAATCCGATTTATTTCTAATCTAATAATTATAAAAATAAGATACCTGATTGATTCTTCCGAAATATTATAAAATGAGATATCAGGAAATAAATAAAGTTAATTATCTCGTTTGTTTTGGGAATTCAAAAAAAAGAGAATCTTAAGAGACACAGTTCAAATATTATTTTTGAGTATAATGGGTGCTTCAAAAAATGTGGCGGATATAATGTAACATGTTTTTTTAATGCAAAACTCTTATTTATAACTTTTATTTTATTTTCGATTCTGCCTACAATTTTGTAACTTTTTTTTATAAATAACGTTAGTATTTGCAAAAAAAAATTATTCCTATGTTACATAAGTGTCAGTTGTTTCCGAAGTTGGGCTACACAAATTTGGTAGGAGTGTTTTACAGAGGTGAAGAAAAAGATATATGTAAAAATACTTGGAGTTAGATGCTACACTTTGTTCAAACAGTTTTTTTTGGCTGATCCTATATTTTATTATTTTTTCTAGTGAATTTACAAAACCTTTCAACATTTGTTAAGAAAGTATATTAGTACATCTATACTCTATACAGCTTGCAATCTGTTCTGAATTTTTCAATTTTTATCCTTCTTTTACTTCATTTACACTATAACAAGTTTTGCCATGACAAAACAAAAATTATTTATTATTAAGCATTAAAGTAATTTATATAGTTATATGACATTATTAATAGAAATTGAAGAATTTTGTAAAATCTATCAGAAAAAAATATAATATACCGGGTGTTTTTCAAAAGTGGCTTGATTGACGTATTCAATTAGTTTCGGTTATTTCTTGTTTCACCGGAAATGACTACAACTTGGTTTTTAAATGGTACCGTCGGTATTTTTTTACTTTATTTGACAGAATATGGCATTGTGAATAGAATAATTTAATGTCAACTTTTGACATATTTACTTAAAAAATTGTATTTTAAATTACAATCTAGAGTGCCATGATAAAAAACAACATGTAACCGGTCGTAAAGGTAACGACAGTTTGACTCGATATACGAAGTGTGTGGTACCAAATTACCTATTTACCAGGTACCAAAAAGGAAAAGACACAAAAAATATTAGACGATCAAATCAATTTTTCCGAAGCTCCTTGATTAAAAATTAATGGTTTTAACACAGCCATGACACTAGATTGAATTTTAAAATGCTATTTTTTTTAATTGAAAATGTCAAAAGTTGACATATGATATATGTCATTCTATTCAGAATGTCATTTTCTATCAAATAAAGTATAAAAAATACTGAGGGTACCATTTAAAAATCAAATGTTGTACTCGTATACATTTCCGGTGAAACAGGAAGTGACCGAAACTAACGGAATACGAATCAATCTCGATTTATGTTATATACCTACTAACATTCCGAATTTGGTAAACCCCGAATTTAATTTTTTTATCTGAAAAAATAAAAAAGTTATAGAGGTGAACCGCTTTTGAAAAAACACTCAGTATAGGCTGCGTCATTGAAAGAATCTGCAGATATTTTTCTATTTTAAATACGTAGTCGAATTTCAAAAATATATATTGAACACCCTGTAGCTCTACCTTAAATATTACATATAAATATCTAATATTTTTTTCTTCATCAACAAATTGAAATATTATAAAAACTAGTTTTAGGTTACACCATTATACAAGAAATATACATTAAAAAAAAAGTAATAGAATTTTACGCAGAATCTAAATAAAATCTTTAAGGTACATGTTAAAAAAAAAAAAAAAAATTATGTTAAATCCGCTACACTTTTTACAAAGTTACAGACATTAGGTAGGTATAGTTTCATATTATATTCTTTAATTATCCATCTAAATCAAAATCTTTAATTATCCATCAAAAATAAAGTATTTATATACCTAATATAATACTTTAGTATCCAACAAGTGGCCATGAAAATCAAAATAAATATAAATCCATGTCCTTTGAGGTATAAATTCGGTTCGAATCAGATAAGATATTTTTATTCTTTACCGAGAATTAAATTCGAAGAATTCCTAGTCCCTACTTCTTTGCCAAATTCAATAGTCTCCGCCCCTTTTTACGTTTTAATTTCTGCCACCAGTTGGCAGCATCGACTTATACAGGCTCATTGACTAACTATTAATATATAAACAAGGGTAATAGTAAATAAATACACATAACTTTATATCGTTGGAAAGGGTTAAACGCCAGCATTTTTTTAAGTTCATAGCCAACTATGATTTCCATTTAAAAAATTATATTTTTTATTATTACTGACAAAAAGTATAGAAAAAGCATGTATAGAAAAAAACTGACTACGCCACTGGACTGTGCTTAAAAACGTACCTTAAGAACGTTTTTACACAATTTTCATATTCCGCGAAATACAAAAGTTATGGGCGATTTTCCAAATGGCAAAAAAATTCTAAAAGATCCCGTATCTCAGTTGGCAGTGAAAATATCAACAGGCGGTTTACGCCATTAAACGTGTCTCAGAAATCGACCCCATGACATCTATGTCGGTTTTGCTCTATCTAGTCAGGAAATAGGTTTTCTCTGTTAAAACAGACCAATTTCGACCACCCTGGACACGTATTTAAAATGCACTTTGTATAAATGAGATATAAAACTAAACTTACCTCTGTCGTTTCCAAGAACCCCACCTTCGATCTTCCTCGGCATATTTTGCATATCTAAAATTCCAAAAAAAAAATTGAAATAAATTAACTCCTAATTACAATTTTAATCTACCTTTGTTTCCCTATCCGATCTTTCCTGAAGGTCTTTTATGTCATATTCCAAACTATGAATAGTATTATTCAGTTCCGCTATTTCATTTTGATGGCTCTTAAATTAAAATAATTCAAGTAAATAACTCTCTTAAAATCAGTTTCTTTGTTTATGTTGATTAATTTTAATGAGAGTGACAAAATAATAGTAATTTGAATGATTTTAAATGTTTTATCTTAAATATTTTTAACTTACCCTCTCTTCTGCTTCTTGGGCAATTTTTGTCCTCTCTAAATTTAAATGTAATTCTTCAATTGTATCAGTTAGTTTACTTATCTCATCTTGGGTAAACTGAAAAAGGAGATATTATTAAAGCCTATAAATATATAATATTTAAAATCCTTACAGATTCAGATAGTTAAAAATATAGGACAAGATTTGGGAATAGTGTAATTAATATATGGTATCAGGTGTTGAAAAACACATTTTAAAATTGTATCATTTTAAATTTAGAATAATTACCCTTACCCTTACTTATAATGAGGTGCATGGATAACTTCAAAATGTCTAATCAGATACTTATGTGTGTTGAATTTTAATAAATTTTCTTTGTTGGTTAATGAATTATAATGTAAGTTAATACTAATTCAAACAGGACTTTTAAAATGTATATTGTGTTAAATATCTATCACCTGTTATTTTTAAGAGGTTTTTGAAATGGTATTTTTCATATTATTGTATATTGCATACTACAAATATATTAATTATTATTATAAGGATAATACGAAGCAATTATATTTATGATACTGTGCTTCTTTCTATAACACTATTAAAACTCTACATTGTTTAACCGTATTTACATTGTTAAGATTTATTTTCGACATAAATTTCGAATTTTATATTTTATTGGATTTATTTACGGATTATTGAATTTATTTATTTTTTAATTAATACGAAATCACCTTGCTTTAATTAACAAAAGTTTCAAATCATCTTCAGTGGTATCCACATACTCAATATCGCTGTCCTCTTCGTCACTCATCATATTCAGTACAAAAATATTTATTTAAAATATGTATAAAAATGATAAATACCAATTAAAAATTGAGGAACGAGCAAATTAAAAGCAGAAAATAACCAAAAAAATAAAAGAAACCCCATTATTAGCCGACACACACGTCTTAATACGCAGGTCAGTTCTTTTGATCCTTGGTATCGAAATTACCATTCCGAATACGGTTCATGAACGATTAGAGTTCTTGTTGGAATGCAAAAGTTATCGTTCGTTAAACGAGTATCTCGTTGATGGAACGCAGTTTCTCTACTGCGCATATGCGTAACCCTACCGAGAATGCTATGTTGGAACAAACCTATTGTAAATACATTTATAAAATAAATATTAGAGTGATTCAAAAAAAAATTCTTGCAAACAGACTCAAAAGTTTCAATTTGACGTAAAACGATATCAGTTAAAATTTGAGCCTTTAATATTAATATTAAGACTGCCCACATCATGTTTTTCTATTTTCCATAAGAATACCATGGAAAAATTTTGTTCTGCACTTTATGAATTTTATAGCTAGCCTGTCGTGTGTCACAAAAAAGATCCTTTTACTTATTTTCGTAGAGAATTAAACAAAAAAGGTCTCTTATGATTTTTCGAGAAACCTAATAGTTTAATAGTTGTTTGAGGTCAAAGTTTCAATTCATCGCAAATTTTAAGGTTTTTGATGCATTACAGCAAATTTGATGGTTTTATTAGACAACAATTGTTAATACTTTTTTGCAATAATGAGACCAGTGAAACTCTTTGAGATCATTTTTAGCACCAATTGGCTTCGAAATCATAGTTTATCTCGTTTTTGTTTAATCTAAAGACAAAAAATTCTGTTCAGTCATTTGAAATACTTACCTAATAGTCCAGTCATCTTAGTCGAAATAGGGTAGGAATCTCGGAATTCAAGATAACCGGCTGTAAACTCGTATAAACCTTTATTTTAACATACTAAAACATGTCTCAAAACCTACATATGATAGCGTGTGCGCGACTTGTAGATAACTGAGGTCAAAGGTCAAAAAATCGATATTTTGCGCATTTTTTGCAAATATCTCGTTACCTTTCACATTTACGCTATTTGTATTTATTATGAATATTGTAGAGGATAAGATTCTCTACAACTTTTGTTTCAAAAAATTTTTGGTACCTCAAACCGTTTTTGAGATAGAGGGCGGTGAGCGCGCAGTCTTTCATTATGTACGGTATCATTCAAGTTCAACCTGTAGACTCGGTCAAAAACACGCCGTATAAAGTCCGTTAATTATTGAAAAATATATAATTATACATAATTAACATTTTTTCAAAAAAGATCATATTGAATATAATTTTTTTCATAAATTAAGTATATCTTGATTTAATAACACTTACCTCTTTGTACAATTAGAAAATTATTAACAGAAATACTTTAATTACATTTTAATTATAGTTAGATTTATACTAATTACATTTTAAGTAAATAAAAAGACAAGAAATACATTTTTAATTTTTATGTCTATTAAAAAATACGATTTGAATATATAAAAAATTAAATAAAAATAAATAATTAATAAAAATTATATAAATAATAAAAATTGAATATTAAATTTAATATATAAAAATTAATAATAATTAAATAAAAAAAGACATAAAATTGAATAAAAATAAAAAGAATCCGATGTTCTTTTCTTCAGAATGTTCTTTTTCCGTTTTAAAAATCCGACGATTTTTATTTTTCTTCTTCTTCTTCGTCATCGTCGTCTGGTTGTTGTGGAATTTCAAATTCTTCATTTTCATCTTCAACGACATTTGTCTCCAAGTCTTTTAGGATTTCGGGGTCAAATGTACCATCTTCATTGACATCACTCTGATAGGGTTAGAAGCATTGAGACAAGCTTGCCCATTACACTGGCTACAAGCTAAAGAGCACGGCAACCCTGATTTCCTGCATCCACATCGCGAACCACAACCATTCTTGCAGTTGCAGAATATTGTGTTCAGCAAATTTTCTGGAGCTGGAGGTAATTAGTATAAATTTGACTATAATTAAAATGTAATTAAAGTAGTTCTGTTAATAATTTTATAATTGTACAAAGAGGTAAATATTATTATTATTAAAAATTATATAATTAATAAAAATTATTATATTCAATATGATATTTTATGAAAAAATGTAAATTATTTATAATTATATATTTTTCAATAATTAACAGACTTTATACGGCGTGTTTTTGGCCGAGACTATAGGTTGAACTTGAATGTACATAATGAAAGACTGCGCGCTCACCGCCCTCTATCTCAAAAACGGTTTTTAGAGGTACAAAAAAATTTTTGAAACAAAAGTTGTAGAGAATTTTATCCTCTACAATATTTATAGTAAATACAAATAGCGTAAATGTGAAAGGGAACAAGATATTTGCAAAAAATGCGCAAAAAATCGATTTTTTGACATTTGACCTCAGTTATCTACAAGTCGCGCACACGCTATCATATGTAGGTTTTGAGACATGTTTTAGAATGTTAAAATAAAGGTTTATACGAGTTTACAGCCGGTTATCTCGAATTCCGAGGTGAAACCCCTAAGATGACTGAACTATAAGGAATACATTAACTGACGATTGGTTTTGTTTAAATATAAAAAAATATTTACTTTTTCTATAAGTAGATTTAAAATTACTTAGTCAAATTTTATCTAAATCAATATTATTATTGAAGATTTTTTTAAACAGTCTGGATAACGTTGCCGATGTTCTCGAACTACTTGTAACAAATACTGTAGTTGCTTTTCATCTTTAGTGAAATAATTGTTATATTCTCCGATTAACGCAACTGCTCTTTCAGCTTTTTTTTTCTTTTTTTCTCTTACGTCATTTGTTACTTTTAATGTTTTAAAAAATTCAGCACATTCGAAATGGCAAATTCCTAAACAAAATATAGGTACATTTAAAGTAAAATAATATTATAAGATTACTGGAAAATATTACAAAAATTCCTGATATATTTTTATAAAATACCGCACGCTCCTGGATATTTTATGAATGAAATAGACCATGTTTTTAGAAAATCTTCTCACCTATAATTTTGGGAATTCAAATTAGTTACAATGACTTTTAAAACATTTACAGACTATTGGATGAACAGAAAAACAATTTAACGTGATTTTTGTTTTCATAAAAAAATTTTATAGTAAATTTTCAAACTATTCGATTTTTCGGCTACCGAAAATTATTAGCAATTATTATCTAAGAAACTAAATTTAAGATAAACATGTATTTTTTGGGTGATTTGTTCCAATAAAATCATCAAATTTACTGTAATGCACCAACAACCTTAAAATTTGCGATGAATTGAATTTTGGCCTCAAATAACTCTTAAACTATTAGGTTTCTCGAAAAATCATAAGAGACCTTTTTTGTAGAACGTTCAATTCTCTACAAAAATAAGTAAAAGGATCTTTTTTATGACACACCAAACAAAATTTTTCCACGGTATTCTTGTGGAAAATAGAAAAACGTGATGTGGGCAGTCTTAATATTAATATTAAGAGCTCAAATTTTATGTGGTATCTTTTTACGTCAAATTGAAACTTTTGAGCCTGTTGGCAAAAATTTTTTTAACCACCCTAATAAATATAAAAAAATAAAGTTAAATCTATCAACTCACGCTAGTGGTTACTTCATTTCTCTGCCTCAAAACCTCTATGCTATGACTTAAAGTTCTGTTCTACAAAAAGTATTACCGATATAGAACAAATTGTAATCTATACGAAGTCAATATAATACCTCTTCGTTCAAAGTCAGAATTTGCTCAATAGCTTTCTTATTCTCTTCAATGATATCCTTCATGGCACACTGACACTTTGCCTAATAAAAATACTTTTTAAAACATATAAGATTTGAAGAGACAATCTGCTTTATTACCGATTCCAATCGAATATTATTAAGTTGTCCATGTGTGTTACGAATATCAGCCAATAGTTTATCCTAAGATATTAAACGTAAGATATAATTACGAATCATAAAACTTTCCTTACATTTTCTTGGTGAGCAATTCTTAATTCTCCCTTTAAAGCTTCGCATTCGCAGGCCACGCCTTCCTTTTCTTTGTTAAGTTGTTTAATTCGTTTCTCGAGAATCTTATTTTTATGCTTCAAATCATCTCTACTTATCAGCTAAACAAGCGTTAATTAAATATGATAAGTATAAGTATAGTATGAATAATGTATCTGAATATGCATCGCTATATGCTATTAGTTAAAAAAAAGAGCGGATAGACTTAAAATTTCAGTCATTTTCAAAATATATAGAAAGAAAAGAAAAGACTTAAATCTTTAAGGTATTCTGGTATTTCGTCGATTTTAAAATAAACTAACTGTTTCTATCTTATTTTTTTGTTAGAATGGGCCTAATCAAGAGGGCTACTGATACTGTATTGTAAAAATCAGGTAATTAAGGGCTTATTTTTTGGTATTTATTATAGTTTTGCTAATATCTTCGGTTTGAAAGAAGATATCAAGATGCGGTTTTCGCTGACTTTTTAGGCTTTTACTACTCTTTACTATCAGCTAAAATAACACATACTATCGTATTTAATTTTTTTGAAAAAACGCGCTATGTTTGTTAAATTGTAAGAACGCGCCCCCTAGTGTCTACATTCAAGACCTTATTATTATTATTTTCATGGTATAATATAGAGTAAGAAACGCTCTTTTAAACGAGCCCCCGTTTGTTGGATTCTGATAATCCGGTCCGGAATTATTAACATTTAAATAAAGATAGATCTAACCTTCCCCCACCACTTTATTTTAGCAGATAGGGGAAAATGGTTCTAACAAAAAAAATCCAAAATTTACTGAAGATTATGAATCTATCATTTATAGTACCCATTATCTCGGCAAAATTCTGTAAAAAATCTATTTTCCTATTTTCCATAGCAATTGCGCCACCTAGCGGCCGTTCTACAAACTTGAAAATAATTTCCAGCAATTTCTCATAGCCCCTTTAGTTATAAATATTCTTTTCCGTAAGCCCTACGGCTAATACTTTCCGAGATACAGCCGAAAGCTATTCTTAGTGGGACACCCGGTACATACTTTAGGTTTGCACTTATACAAAATTACTAAGTTTTTTATTATAGGAGCTACAGATGCCCGACGCACTATTGCCAGACCCTGTATAGATATTTAAAGAACCCATCATATCCAGAACAATGAGATAACTAAACTTCCAAAAAATTTGATCACATTCTAGTATGTCATTATAATAACAATAGCGTTGCATATACAAATAACTTATAATTAGTTCTGTATAACTTCTTACAAATTCTTTAAATTGTCCTTCTAATTCTTCAATGCGTCCTTTTTCCGCTTGCAGCGTATCTTTCAAAGACAAATTCTCTTTCTCTACTGTACTAATCTACGATATTGTGTAAATTGAATAAATATTTCAGAACTGAAAATATAGCATACCTTCTCTGATAAATTTTCTTTTTGTCTAATGATAACTTGTGAAGTCTGAAAAATTGAAGAGGACGCATTACTTTTACTAATGCACTTTAAAAAAACGTACGAAATAATAAAACAATCATTAGTTTAAAACAATTATATTTTATTATAAAGTTTTCTCTATGTTTTTCGTGATACTATGTTTAATCTCATTTAATGATTCTTGGAAATGGTTTATGTCAGCTTTCGTGAGGCCTAATGATGCCTTGTTAAGTTTCGCCTAAAAAATTAATATATTTCTTAATAGAATTCATTTTTTTCTATAGCTGTTTTTTATTACAACAGATAAAGTTCTTCGTTCTAAAAACTTTAATCGGTTGTCGATCAAAAACAATTTGGTGATCAGAATTTTAACCAAACTGAACTGTTCTTCTAGTAGTTTATTTTTTGCGCTTATGTTCCTTTGTAATTCAGTGATATCTGGGTTATGAATAACTCGGCATGTCGCGTCCTCTAGCGTTTCTTTCTCGTTCTACCAATATAACCAAATTCAAAATAATGGATAATAAATCATTAAAATGTATTATGATACATACCGATAAATCCTTGTGGTTAACAAAGAATCTTTTAATTTGCTCTGCTATAAGGTCTAGATAATTTTCAGTGACCTAGAATTTCAAACACAAGGCATATTTGGAAACTCGCACTAAATAAAATAATAACGACGCCATAGTAGAAATAAAATTTCAGTTTAAACTTTACTATATGCCGTTAAGGTTAGGAAAAGTGACAGTTGATCGTAAGTTATTCAAAATTCTTGTTAAATATTAAAACTAGAGTATAAACTGTATAAATATAAGGTGACCTACTATTCAGATGATTTTAAAAAATTCCGACTGCAGCGCTCTGTACGGCAGAAATCAGAAGTTTTCACTGTGTATTTCACATTCTGTCCAGTTTACAGTTCGTGTTGATCGCATTAGTACATTACTTGACGTCATTTGTAAAAGTGAAAATACATCTCAATATTTACAGAGTTTACAGATTTAAGAATACAAAATGCATTCGGAAGTATAAGTTCAAAGAGCTATAAAAAAATTGAATTTGTGCGATTTGAAACGAAAAATAAATTTGTGCGATCGGGAGGGTGGTAACCCTTTCGAACATGTAGAGCATTATAAACTAGTTTGTAGAAGTTGATTTATTTATAATAACTACGATTAATATTATGCATATTATTCGATCGCACACTGATATTTCAAATTCACAATAAAAAAGTTAAAAACAATATCTTTAAATTGCTGACCTGGATATTATCCTTGTATATGGATTTTTAAAGTAGCTCAACCTAAGACGTTTATGGATGTAAAGCACCAGATAGCGGAGCGTATTTCACGGTCTTTTACTACAGAAAAATATTTTTTGTTACTCTGAATTTTGAAGCGACCAATAAAAACAGAGAAAATAAAAATCGATAATTTTCGGACTGTGCCAATTGGTTACTAATCGACCAGATACTTTTTATCTATTAGATATGCTATAAAAGCTGGTAATTATACAATTCGACCATTGTAAATACCCGACAAATTCCGCAAGGCCGACGAGGCCGATGCTTTTCACTGATAAGAAAAAAATATATTTGTTTAGATAATTTTCGAGATATTTTTTTCTTTCTGAATGCACATTTTTAAAGTATTTTATATTCTTTGTCCGCTTGATCTACTATACTGGTTGCACGTATCAAAGTTCTGTTTCTTCTAGTTTTAAAAAATGTTCTTATTTCTTTGTAGTGGTTGTAGTGTAAAATTAGATTAATTTTATTAAGTTTAATTATAACGTTTAGTGTAGAATAGCACAAATAGTTTAGTAGTGTTTTTATAGTTTATTATTTTGTAGTTAAGTAGTAGGTGAAAGGATAATTTGGTTATTTTTTCTTTTTGTTTGATTAATTAGTAAGTTTGATAATTTTTTCAGTGTAGAATACGAGAAGTAGTTGTGTAGTGTTTTTATAAGAGATTATGTTAGTTTATTTTGTAGATGAGTAGTAGGTGAAGGTATTTGGGTATTTTTTCTTTTTGTTTTTCTTCTAATTGTAGTAATTCTATTAAGTATTGTGATAGATACACTATATCTTCCTTCAACTTCGTTGAAAAGTGCATTATCATAAATTATTATAAATAATGTACCAACATATCGAAATAATAATTTCTTTGTTAATACGGTTTAGAATTCTTAAAATAACAGGCAAAAATAATCCACAATTTACAATAAAATAAAAGTTTTGTTTAAATTTCTTAATCAGCTGATCACTATTAAAGTTCGCAGAAACCCGGGCTATATTATAACATTACTCTGAGGAAAATAACGAAAATAATCGATATTTCTGACTCCGCCCCGAAAGGTTCACGATTTGTCCTCCAGTTGGCAGCACATTTTGTCTAGTCGGTTGAACAACTTTAAGAATATATAAACAAGGATATTATTTACTTGAATCTTCCAATTGGCTCGATTTTTCTTATTCGGTGTTAATTAGCACTGATTAATATTGTTGCAATGAATATAATCAGATTAAATAATTAAAAAAAGCAGGGGAGGACTTGAAATTATTTTCAAATAATAATTAAATAGTTTTGTTGTGGTTAGGGTACCCAAAACAACAAAAAATATATAAAGTGTGGTATATCATTATATTCAGGAGACCGAGTTCTTTCAAAACCTGAAATAAAAAATACAGCATCTATTTAAGTATTTAAAAGAAATTAAGTTGACCTCCGTATCTTACAAATTATCAGTTAATTTGAAAATATAAAAATACTATCAGATAGCCCTAATAAAGTGGGTATGAGAATGTGCAATTAGTATTTTGATTTTCTAAATAGTAACAACAAGAAAAAATAAAATTGATTTTCAAAAAAATCCGTTTTTTCCAAAAAACTCAGCAATCCTTGAAATTTTTAAAACTTTTTTGATGGTTTCTTGGTGTTTAGGGCTTGTTTCTCCCTACAATTTCCTGTTTCACAATGTACCGTTCGTGTCGGGAAAGGGATCATAGTTTCATAGTTGTCGATTTTCAAAAGAAATCAGTACATGTATATTATTTCGTATTTTTCATTTAATTGATATTATGGAAAGAACTGTTCATTAAAATGTTGTATCCTATGTTATAGGGCTTATTTCTCTCTACAATGTACCGTTCGTGTCGGGGAAGGGATCATAGTTTCATAGTTGTCGATTTTCGAAAGAAATCAGTACATGCATATTATTTCGTATATTTTTCATTTTATTGATTTTATGGAAAGAACTGTTCATTAAAATGTTGTATCCTATTTTTAATCCTGTCATAGGGCTTGTTTCTCGCTACAATTTCCTGTTTCACAATGTACCGTTTGTGTCCGGGAAGTTTTTTTAAAAAGACTTAAATATTTTAAAAGATTTAAGCCATTTTTATTTCGTAATAAAGATTTAAATCACAAACCATTTTGAAGATTACTTAAATTTTAAGTCTTAAGCAGCTTTCGAAAAATGACTTAAAATCAAACGACTTAATTAAAATGATTTAAATAAAAAAATACTTTTTTTACTAAAATAATTTTACTTTTTACATCACAAATTTTCGGTGAGCTTCCAGCTCTGTTTTTTGTTATATCTATTATGGTTTCAATGGTTAACAAGGTACAATTAATTCACGATCAGCTGTCACAGTTTATCGATAGACATAGTATAGCTAAAACTCAAATGTTACTTCTAATCTACTATAACATAATTTTTAAAAGGGCAATTATAGGGCATTATTTATTCAAACATCGTAACCCAAAATTAAAATACAGGGTTTTCTACAATCATGACTTGAGTACAAAAACGAAACTTGCAGTGTATCGAGCAAAAATAATCCCCACCATGTTATATGGAAGCGAAACCTGGGTGCCGTACCGCCAGCACACGAACGCATTAACCAAGTTGCACCAGAGACATCTTAGCCAACTGTTAAGAATCAAATGGTACCACCATGTATTAAACGTATCGGTCCTTGAAAAAGCTAGCTGCGAGAGCGCTGAAGTCATGATTACTAAATCCCGCTTAAGATAGGCTGGTCATGTATGCAGGATGCAAGAAAACCGCCTACCGAAATATTTCCTTTACGGTGAGCTTGCAGATGGTAAGAGGAAACCGGGTGGACAACTCAAAACGTACAAGGATATTTTCCACGAAAACTTAAAGGGGGTAAGCATGAAGAATCAGTGAGAGAAAGCAGCGCACAATAGATCGCAATGGAGAAGTAAACTACGTTAACAGCGACAACCAAAAAGTAAAAAGGCAACAAAGTAATGAGATTTTTGAATGTCCAGAGGGCGGAAGAGAGATAATATCATGTATCGGGCTTTTCAGTCACAGAAAAACTCATGAAAAAAACGTCTTGCGTAACCATCTCCTGATGCGTGTCAAATACTCGTCAGCGAGTAATGGCAGTAGTAGTAGTACAAGGATACTATATAGAGATAAGGATAGTTCGATTCCTATCTTCCTGCACTGTCAGTTTTTTTACGTCATCTACTGATCGAGTTGAAGTTGGCGCTAAAGATTTTAGACAGTGACAGTTATTTTTGCATTTGACGGACGACCGCACAGTGCGTTGGAAGATAAACTTAGCGGGACAAAAGCGTTTGGTTAGAAATAAGCCAAAAAATGTGTACTGATAAGAATAAATAGTAGACATTCCAATTGATACAAAAATGCATGAATATTCTTTGTATTTCGATACATTTTTATCAACCAAATTTGGTCGTTTTCTGCTTAGCAAGGCAGAGATCATACGAAAACAAAATATTTACAAGTGCTTATACATTTCATTAGAAAGCCAAATTATGTTGAAGATTGCCAAAGGTATGTACTTTTCTACTGTACGTATATTATTTGTTAAAATCCTTCGTGCCTTTGTTCTGCAGATATCAAACTTTCACTTTTTTTTCAAATATCAATATATTGAATGATGTAGATCTTTTGAGTTACCAATAGTTACCAACACAGGTAGTTACAGTCATAGGGAGTTCAAGCTTAACAGGTGAATGCCC